AATATCTATAAATAATCATTATCAATATTTATCTATTTATTTTCATATTTTATTTTGTACTTTTGTTGCATTTTATCGTAAAAAAATAAATTCTATTTCATTCAATATGAACTTTAAAAAGAAAAATGAAACTAATAATTGTTTTCAAAAAAGTAAAATAACAAAAATACCAAACTCCAAGGAAAATTCTAAATGGAAAGTCCTTATTCAAATGGCAAAAAATAGGGGGGGGGGCTCAAAAACATCAAGCGAATGGAAAGCAACTGTCATTTGGTCTTGGTTTTAAAAACCTTTCAGAGCTTATGTTTGTAATTATGTTGCTTATACCGACTTTAAATAAAGCTTTATGTCTTATATGTTATGTCTGGATGTAGAGTTGTCTCATTGGCAATCATACAACACCTTCTTATTTTTATATTAATATTTGATCATTACCTGTTGAAGTTTCTCTCCATTCTGCTTGTAAGTCGATGTTTTGTCTGGTGGCGGGCTGCCTAGGTAGTTCAGTATTGCGTTCACGATACAGTGAGGATTTACAGGCAGTAAAGGTTGGTATCTTTTCTACAATCTGCCTGGTGTCTTCGTCCTATTCCCTGCACCGGAACTGTATTATTTCACTGTCATAGAGTGTTGGTAGTGGGTCTAGGCAGGAGCGTGCTTTCTCTGATAAGTGTGACATGAATAGTTTGGCTTTGATATCTGCATGTGATGGTGGGTGGTTGTGGTCTCTTGGAAATCTGGTAACTAGATTATCTGTGGTGTTTACGGTGCCAGGGCAGTCCATTTCTGTACATTTTTAGTATACAAGTTCTGCATCTATGCACTGTTTTCTGGTCTTAACACAATATCTGTAGCCTGCAACTGCTAGGTAGTGACCTCTGGCATGAGGAATTAGTTGTACTCTTACTTGTGCGTTTGCCATTTGAGCAATAATGAAATTTTGGATTGAATGGCTATACATACTACAACATGAGCTTAACTATGAAATGTAGTTTTATAAGAATAGAGTTCATTCATTCATTCATTCACATGTTTTGGAAAGATTGCTGAGTACTGTTACATAGTTTTAATTTTTAACACTTGGAGATATGGGCTTGGGTTGTGAAAAATGTTTAGATGTTTGCATTGATTATCAAATATGCTGAACACGAACAATGTTTAATTTGGTAATTAAAACATACAGGAACAAATTTACTGTCAAATTTTAGAAAGACACCTTATTATTACTAAACAAACAATCCAATAAAGAACAAAAATAAAAAGTTGGCTAAATGAGAATACCTTATTTTAAAAAAGTTGGATAAATGGGAAGACACCGCGCTTTGTGTGACTAGATCTGATCCTATGAGCTGCGGTCAGGTTAATTTCTGTGCAAGATACCCGTGTTCCTCTACTTATCACAATAGGTATTGGTGTGTGTCACAAAAAAAGAAAGATTGGAAATCATCGGTTTACACGCATCGTGAAAAATACTGGACAGTGTTGAATAAAGAAAATATACAATTTTGTCTTTTATTATTTTTCAGGGTCAATGAACTCAAGTGGATACATGCTATATATCATGATGTAATATTATGAAAAAAAAAACCAATGTTTTAACATTTTTTTTTTAAATTATCACACTATACAAAATGATCCAAAAGTATATCGAGCTAAGTAGGAATAACCTGCCTCTATAGTTAATTTGGTCTTAAATGGATTAAGCTATACTATCTAGGCCCCTTTTGATAAAAAAAGCTCGTCACGTGATGGAGTTTAATCAAGAAAAGATATTTTGACAACAAATGTTTGAGGTGATGAATTCACTTTTTTTAGTATAAACGTCATATGCAGAGTGACGTCAAGTTTAACATGTTTGCTTGACCGTTAAAAACTGCAATTTAGCCACTCGTGTCGCTGTACTATTAAGATCAAAGTAACGTTGATTGAATTAATTGTTTTCCAATTACTGGCTTTCGAATCGACCCCAAGATTAAATGTTTTCATTTGATAAATTACTACATTTGAAGAAATTCCAAATCAATAGAATATTTTCACATCACCGATTTATGACTCCGGAGAATTAAATTACTCGAAAGGTTACCAACTCTGTAGTTGAACATTCTGGTACTTGGTCAAATGAGAGCAACTGAAAAAAGTAAAATAAGATTAATTATTCGTCTTTTAGTTGTTCTTACATCACCGAGTACCAGAATATCCTACCACAGAGTAGGTAACCTGTCGAAAATTTATATACTTGGGAGTCAAAAGTATACTTTGGAGTCAAAAGTATACTTCGGAGTCAAAAGTCGGTAATATGAAAATATAGTCTATTGGAATATGATAATATACAAAAAATTAACAAGTAAAAAAAACGATTAGCACAACATAAACAAGGTACCCCCCCTTCCCCCCACCAAAAAAAAAATATAATAAAAAAAGATATAAAAAATAAATAAAATAATAAAACAAAACAAAACAAACCACACACAACATACATAAAGAAACACAACATACATAAAGAAACACAACATACATAAAGAAACACAACATACATAGAGAAACACAACATACATGAAGAAACACAACATACATGAAGAAACACAACATACATGAAGAAACACAACATACATAAAGAAACACAACATACATAAAGAAACACAACATACATAAAGAAACACAACATACATGAAGAAACACAACATACATGAAGAAACACAACATACATGAAGAAACACAACATACATAAAGAAACACAACATACATAAAGAAACACAACATACATGAAGAAACACAACATACATGAAGAAACACAACATACATGAAGAAACACAGCATACATGAAGAAACACAACATACATAAAGAAACACAACATACATGACGAAACACAACATACACAAAGAAACACAACATACATGAAGAAACACAACATACATAAAGAAACACAACATACATGACGAAACACAACATACACAAAGAAACACAACATACATGAAGAAACACAACATACATAAAGAAACACAACATACATAAAGAAACACAACATAGATGAAGAAACACAACATACATGAAGAAACACAACATACATGAAGAAACACAACATACATAAAGAAACACAACATACATAAAGAAACACAACATAGATGAAGAAACACAACATACATAAAGATACACAACATACATAAAGAAAAATTTGAGCGATATTTCAAATATTGTAATAATGTCCTAGTGTGGTATCTACATACACGGAAACAGTAACTGTTAACGTTGTTACACCATCTGAGTTTTACCGTTTTGTTTGAACGCTACTGATGAGTATTATGTACACGAAACGTGCATCTGGAGTATCAAATATTGAGCCGAATATTTTTCATGAGGTTTTTATTATTTTATAATATAGTTAACCTGAAAAAAAATGAATCAAGCAAAACATATTCATTTGTGAAAACAGTCGTAGTAATATGATAAAGCTCATTATTTTCTTCGCTTAGATGACAAGTCTTATGCAAGAATAGAATTCCTCTTTTAAAATTTGCTAATTTTATTAAAGATCAAGAATGATTGTTTATGTTATTTACAATCCGAAAGACAAAAAGCCAAATCAAAATTGTCAAAAACTTCTATGAAGAGTGAAGTTACACTTTTGATTGGATTGACGCAGTTGAATATCGTGTTGTTTATCTTTTTTGTTCTTTCTGTCTTTCAATTTTTACTTGGCATAGTGTTCTTTCTACTATGGTTTTGAAAATGAAAGAAGAATACTTGCATAACCATACATGTATGTCATATGTTCAGCCATAGTGGCTCCTTGTTTCCTGCAGGGAGCAAAATCAACTTAATCGTTTAAATGTTGTGTACTATAACAGGATGATTGTGCAAAGATTAAACAAAATGGTCTGGTAGTTGCACAGGATAACATTTTAGAAAAATGTTAACGCCGAAAGACGCCAAGTAGTGGCAATAGCTCACATTGGCCTTCAGCCTAGGTGATTTAAAATGAAAAAAAAAACAAAAAAAACTCATTAATAATCCATGAAAGTATAGTATGGAAATGCCGAATTGAAATGACGACATTGATAGATTCGGTATGCCATAGGTCAAAATGATGTACATTTATTTTAGTAGAGGAAAGCACCTTCGTATCAAGCACGAGGACATATGGTGTAAGAAATTTGATACTAGTACATGTCTATGTAATGCGTTGTGACATAAGCTTGCATCTGTTGTGTGTCCACCAGTTGTTTATATTTGCTATATCTCTGTTTTATAAGTAGAAAAAACTTAAAACAAACTTGACAGAAATAATATATGGACTAGTTTCTTCCTTCCTTTCAAAGCTACAAGGTGGTTTTTTAAAGTCGAGTGCTTTCATAAAAACTAAACCGTCTGTAGTGAAATGTAAATGATTTTATATTTTCTTAAGAAGTAAATTTTGCAGATGATTTATAATAGCCCCTACAACCCTAGTTGAAGCAAAACATGGTTAGTCTCTTTAACAATTTGTTGCATATTGTTGAGGGGCCTGATGGATTATTTTCGTTCTTCGTGATCGGCGCATTTTCGCTATTGTGATCCGTTTTTGTACAGATTTTTTTTTTTTTTTATATTTTCGTGATCCGTGATCATGGAAATTTATTTTCTGCGAATCGTGATTGACAAAAACTCGTGAATCGTGATGAGACTAAACCCCCCCCCCCCCCCCAAATCAGGCCCCTCATTGTTTGGTTTTAAGCGTTCTTGGTGCAAATAAAAACAGAAAAGACCTTCACACGCACATTATATTCATTTATAATCAGTATGTTTTCCCAATCTTGTCTAGGTTTATTAGTATTAGAGGCCTTCAACACTTTGCTGTTTTATTCAAGACAACGTCAAAGATTTGAAAATAAAACAAAACAACGTTCGAATACAAAGAGTGAACTTTTGTTTTTCGTGTACGTTTCTATAAAATACTTTTTACAGATTGAATTAAAATCCTACACCAGTTTTCACCTAAATAGTATTATTGATAACAAAAAAATAGGCAAATAATTCATTTTTCTTTTATTTTTGACACTTCTACTATCTTTACATTCTGTTAATGATCACATTTCCATACTTTTGCAAACTGTCACAATTTAAGCTGAAATGACACCATACTAGTTGAACTCTAGAACAGTCTCCTAAACACTCGGTGTGTATCCTTTATAAAAAAGGGAATGACACATGTTACAGAATATCATCTTAATATTTTCATCCCCTCTTCTTGCTCCCATCTTTTCCCCCTTTTTGTTTCTTTCCACTTGCCCGGTCTTGGTCTTTTTGTTTTCTGCTTTGTCCTTTCTGATGTTTACCTTTGGTGCTCGGTCTCTTGCCTTTTGTATGTTCGCTACCTCCCTTTTTCTTTCCTCTTTTTGACAAACCCCTTACCACTGCCCTTGCCACGTGTCCCCAAATTGCATGTGCTCCGGGCAACAGGACAGCGGAGTTTTGTGATACCATTTCTTGTCCAGTCCATACCGAATTTATAAGATTGCCGACATCACCACAGAAGGCAAAAATTACAATTAAAACAACGACTTTCTGATATAGCTTCATTGTTTTTTTTTGTATGCAATAGATTTACTATGGTATCTTGGTCAGTTCCTGAAAAAGATTTACATGTAATTAACATAAAACATAACTAGAATATGCCCACGAAATCGCGGAACAATTGGGCAAGTGTTGAAACAAAGAACTTTTAAATTTCGCGGGCTGTATGTCGACTGAGCATGCGCGAAAGCGTATAAGACACGGACCGATAATGGTCTCCGAATTGGGTTATTTTCTCAAAAATTGGCGTTTTCTGTGGAAAAAGAATTGGTTTAAAGACAAATGTAGGAATGACAAAACGCTATATTTATACGTCATATCACACATATTTCCGACTTCGTATGGTTTCAGAGGAGATGCGGCTCAATGAAATCGGTCTCTTCCTTTAGTAGTAAAAATATAAGTTATGTCATGCAGTTAAAGTAAAGTGATTAGACAGTTAGATATTAAATAAAAAAAAAACGAAGCACCTTCGTAGATTGAACTTAAAATTTATCAGAATCACTCTAACCAACAAAATATTGAAGTCAATGATAAAGAAATACAGACAAGTCCGTACCTAATAAAATAGCCAAATTTATCTATAAAAAAATAGCTGATTTGTTTATTAGATTTTATCGAAACTTAAGGAGTCCTTGCTTATAGGTTTTATGCTTTTTTAAATGTTGAACTTCCCTCGTTTTTTTTTTGTTTTTTGTTTTTGGCAAATAAGGAAGAAATGTTTTTCGTCTTCTGATATTCTCTTTTCTCTACTGTTTGCTTTTCTCTTTATATGAAGTGCATTCACTCGAGATCATTCTAGTTAAATTTATAAAAAAAAAAAAATCAAAGGAAAAATTAGTGTGATTAAGATGTAAATTTCCGTTAAAGTTTATGACAATATTACACTAGATATTGTTGCATTCATTCAAATAATTTATTTTTTTCTGTATAACTGTTTTAAAATATTCATAAGATCATGATTTAATAAGCATTGTTTTAAAATTACTTACAACAATATAGATCTTAAAAAATTAATACCTATAAATATATCTATTTCTCGAGGATCACAATACCACGGAACGCCACTTGTTGCCTTAAAATTTTACCATCATTATATATCACAATAAAATATTAAATAAACAACACTGCTAATTTTTTGTATTTAATACCTATACAGGTTGGCTGTCACAGTATAATATAGAACCCTATTGGGAAAACCAGAGAACCCTTTTTGACAGAACACACTGTCAAACATCCGAACATACTATCCACACTGATCTGTGTCCACACTTGTTATATATCACAATATAATATCTTACCTTGTATAAGATTTGACAATTGTTCAGCTTGCCTCAGTGTGAATCAATGACACAATACATAAATACTTTCGAACCTATATTTATACACATGTACACTAATTTGTTGTTTCCATACTGTCATTTTGTGGTTTAGGTGTGCTGATGTTGCACATATTTTTGGAAAATCCATTAACGTCATTACTTAGTCATTTATAACGTATTGGATAATACTACATCATGTACATGTTCCTGGAAATTCAACACTGGAAAATTTCCGAATACTCAGTTTCCATTTCATAATCTATAATTTTATATACAAGAGTGTACATTGTCGTAAAATATAAATTTATTTAAATGAGCTATTATATATGGAAAGAGGACGAAAAGCGAGGCGCACCGAGCTTTTGGACTGTTTCGTAGAGAGAACAAATCAATTTTATGTACGTACATTTATTGTTTTTATCGTGCAATTTAAACCCATTACTTAAAAGTTTAGGGAGCAATCATTTAACTTCAAGGGAGCGGAGGGTTATGGTTTTTTTTTCTGAGTCAGAAACTTTTTTTGGCGCAAAGCGCGAACAAATTTATTCAGTTTTTCAACACTACCAATCAAATTATTTTTTCAAAATTTAACACTATGGGGGAAATCTGAATTCAGAATATTTTTTTTGTCATCTGCTTGCCCAGAATAATTTTTTTTTCATCAAATTGGGGATCAAAATATTTTTTCAGAAAAAAAACCATAATCCCTCCTCCTCCCTGGAAGTTAAATGCTCGTTCCCTTAGATGTTTAAATCCAAATACTAGTAGTTGTTTCTCAAAGAAATAATCCGCGAAGAAGAACCCAAGATTTTTTCACATTTATTTTTTACTAAAATATAAATGTAAAAGTCTTATTGTCAGTTTCCTTTAAACCTCGTAGGAAATTTCTCTGGCATATTCATGTGATTTAGCGAGTTTCGGAAAAGAATTTAGTAGTTTTATTTCAGATCGAAAGCAACCAAGAAAATACACTCGGTATGTAACAGACATGGAAATTTGTTTTTAACATTTTTACCTATTGTGTCTGTTTGTTTTGTTCACACATCGTTGTCAATATAATGGAATTGTATGCGACTGTCATACAAGTGAGAGGTTTAGCTAGCTATAAAACCAGGTTTAATTCACCATTTTCTACATAAGAAAATGCCTGTACCAAGTCATGAATATGGCAGTTGTTATCAATTCGTTTGATGTGTTTGAGCTTTTGATTTTGCCATTTGATTAGGGACTTTCCGTTTTGAACTTTCCTAGAAGTTCGGTATTTTTGTTATTTTACTTTTTGCAGGTGCATTACTACTACATAAAATGAAAATGTGAAAATTGTATGAACGGAGAACGAACGTCAACAACAACAAATAATAACCGCTTTCCAAGGGACCTTGATATAACAAAATTATATTTTGATAATTTTTTCACAAATCGGCTCTTATCATCATTATTTGTTGAATACTATGAATGTAAAACAACCAAACAATGAACATAACAAGAAGACGACAACAGTAGGGCTACATCATGCTAAATGGGACAAACATACGGTATGAGGCGTTATTTCCGTTTGAATCCAATGTACCGGGTTTTTTTTTGTGCATGGTATTCAAAATTTGCCCTCTCAATTTTTGACGACCTGCTGTTCACAACCGACCATAATGATTGATTGTTTTAATTGTTTTTATCCATGAAATATATGCGATATGATAATAAACAACTTGAAATCTTGTCAAATAACATTAACAGTACAAATATTATGGCACCGTCAAAATTCGTAAACAAATGTTATATCAATAGAAAAACGATTCGCTTGTTATATCTATTAATAAAATTACCATTAAAAGCTAGGTTTTTGGTGGTGATATATAGTGTTTACATTTCAAAGAAAAGAAATGTAACATCATGTACTACACACATATATATTTATATTGACTGCTTAAGGTAGATGGGGTGTCTATATTATAATCCATAGAATTTTTTAATAATTTGCCAAAATGTAGTTTATATCATACTTTTTTGAAAAATATAATAAAAAAAATGGGTCACGGGGCTTATTTTCACGCTACAAGTTGTGCAAAATTGACATATTTTGTATAGATTATGCATGGAAAACGCAATTTTCTGCAAAAACTACACCATAGAATTTTGAGATACAATATGAGAAGATAGCTCTAATATTATACTTTCAGATAAGATAAAGAAAAAATGGGGTCACCGGGCCCGTTTTCTTGCTACATAATAAAATAGATAAATTCTTAACACATTCTATTGTAAAAGTAACTTTATTTGAATTATCCGCCCTTACATTTGAGTTGCCTCCCCTTATGTGGCAAAGTTGGAAAAAATTGAATAAAAAAAAAGTATTCTGTTTTTAGTAAAATACAACTTTAAATATAATAAAACGTGTCATTTTCTATATTAAAATGAAAATTCTTACACATGAATTACCCACTACTCTCAAAATTTGCACATTTTATTAAAGGTCTAGACCGATTATTTTCTGGTATTTCAAAATCCAAGATGGAGGAAGACACCCTATCTACCTTAATACATTTAAAGTATATTCTTATGCCTGTTACAGTTAAATGTGCTAATATAAATTCATTATATAATAGTTAAAATGATGTTCATCATTGAAAAAGAAAAAAAGTCAAATCAGAAACATTAAATATTAACTGTCAATTAAAAGGACATAGAGGGATAAGTTTAAGACGATGAAATTAGTTTTTTTCAATAAACATGTCAACATTGCCTAATATGGCCCAATGATAATTGTTCCGTCCGGTTTTATAGTGACTTTAAATTTAGGTGGTTCGTCTTCATTTCTCAGGAACACTTCTTACACATCATCCCTTGCAACTAAGCCATTGTCTGCTTCAGATCTTGTAGCTACGAAAGTGTAATCGTAATCTCTGATCATAAAAAGGAGAATTCTGTTCTCTTTTAAACTTTTCTACAAAATTTAATGATTTTTATACGTATTTTTTTGACAACTTTCTCTCGCTTCTTAATTAGATTAACACGCAAAGTGAAACAAACGTTGACGTAAGGAACATGTTAAATTTGTGTCAATGCAGATGATAGTCTCGACCATTAAGACGCTTGATTATAGAAATATAGTGTCACTTTAATTAAACATACATCTGGGTTATTACATTATTTATTGAAGCTATGAAGAGGTAATCCATCCTTATATTCTATTATAGACAAAAATATAAACCTTAACGAAGTAGTGGTGAAATAATTCAATGCGATAAGGACATCGGTCTTGGTCTGTGGTATCTGTTAAACTTTCACAAAATTAAGATACTATTGTGCGTAATTCCCATACATAAAATAACATACCGTTGTGTTGTAAACGGGAAGAAATGACATCTGGGTGTGTTTAAATTCATTCTTTGTATCTAATAATCAAAACAATTAAAGGGGAATTTGAACGGAACTATTTGAATCAAGGCTGCCTGAATAAATTTTTGAACTCTGAAATCCTGTTCAAAGATGCAGACTTCTTCATTTTTATAATCTTTTATTAAATTTTGCAACAACAACAGAAATGTAGCTGCATCCCCATTTTGACTATATAGTTATATTATGCCGTGATGTTTTGACGTGCTTGTGTCTGTGTTGTTTTTCAATTAGAAAATGAAGCAATATTTACCATATGTTAACCTTACGCAAAGGTACGTTGGACACTAATCTAGCGCCAACGTATGTGTCAGGTTAATGTAACCCAATAAGAGTATCTACAACTGTTACAACTCCTTGATTCATGATATGTTATAAAAATCAATAATTAATTTTACATGGTTGAGTCTCTAAACATTTTATATTTTTATTGTTATTGACTGTGTTACGGTCGTCGTCTTTTCGATGGTAAATGAATGCTCGGGAACTCGTAAAGTCTTTACTTTTTAGATTTGACATAATACGCACGGCATTGAATTTTATTTTGAAGATTCTTTCCATGCGGATGCGATATAAAGCGGTACCATAATACAAAAAAAAGAGGAGAACATTAAGTGGAGAGATGTCAAAACATATACGTGATCTGTAACATTCAAAACATATGGAATTATTTACCAAATATCGGTTCGTTAACTGCAATGAAGATTATCAGCATGGTAAAAAAGGAGAAAACATCAAAATCAATTATCGAAATTCAATAGCCCATTATAATCTTTAAACTAAACGAAACTATCTCGTGCTTAACACCTGTTCAATACTTAACACCAGATCGTTATCTACCACATATAAAAATGCTATGTTCTAAGTCTAGGGGCGAAATAAGTTCAAAAAGATAGAGTGGTAAACCATCAAAAGCCAATATGCAACTACACAACATAAAAAAAAAAAAAATAAGACAAACATTTATAGCGTTAACTCAATTTTCATTAAGTTGTAGTGGTGGCAATTTTGATTTGTTACCGGAAATAGCAAACAAAACTACACACGCTTTAGAAGATTACAAATATTAAATGTGGCATCAGTTGGCATAGTGACGCAGCGAAAATTCTTATATAAATCTTTACGACTGCAGAATACAGATAATAAAGTAATAGAAAGGTTCTAGATATTAATCTGTAAGAGGAGTAAAACTCATCAATGATAACAGACTTATATTTTGGTACTAGTAAGCCGGAAATACATATATTTGACGATAACAGACTTAAATTGTGGTACTAGTAAGCCGGACATAAATATATTTGACGATAACAGACTTATATTGTGGTACTAGTAAGCCGGACATACATATATTTGACATGCATGATTAAGGTGGTACATAACACTACAGGGAGATCACTCTGTAAAAATCAGCTGAACGTTTTAATCACGTTCTATTGTTAAGGAAATATTAAGCTTCTCAATGATCAAAATTAGTGTTTGTCAAATTGCTATATATCCAATGAAATTTTTCCGATAAAGTGTGTGGTTCATTTTTTTTGAAATTTTTATATTTTTGTCAAAGGGTCAAAGAAAATATTTTGTCCAAATTTTATGAAAATTAAACGAGCCAAATTAATTTTAGTCAAGGTGTTTGGTACCACCTTAAACAAAGAAATGACACAAGTTCTCCATGATCTTGTTATTTAAGTAAAAGTTTCAAAAGTTTTACGGACGCCATCATGACCGTT